TATTTGACATCTTATTTCTTTAAATTTCTTAGAATAGCAAGTTGAACTTTCTTTTCTTCTTTATCCTAATGTTTTGCCTCTTAAATGAAGTTTTAAACTGAAAACACCAAGGCCAGGTTCATATGACGTTGACTTGATCGTTATACTCAATGGACGTTCGTTAGAAGTCAACTCGTGGATTATATATCTGGATGAAGCTGATTATATACATAACGCAATACTATGCTAATCACTAGTACATAAAGTTAGCATTTGTTTTGGCATGTACAMTTGCCAACTAAGTTCTTTATGAGGTCAATGTACGGTTTCTTGCGTTTAACTTTAATGCCAGAACCATCTAGTTGAAAAGAGGAACAGATATCTTGCAACACCAGAATAGAAAACCTGTCTAACTTCTTGCGAGAGGCCAAGTCGCAAAGGGTCGTAAACGTCGTATATGATTGGATGGCGGGTGGAAACTACGCTAAGAACCTCACTCTGTAAGTCTTGCAATAGTTTTTCTGTTTCAACTTCCTGTTGATCTTTTTGAAATTCTTCATAATCTTGACATTTCTTYTTTCCTGTGACTCGCGAAAAGAAACTTGAAATTTGCTGCGATGTCAGGAATTCTGTGGCAGAGAACATAGGTTCGCCACTGGAGAGCTTTGCTTTTCTCATAGCTTTTGAAACGGAGACAGGATCAGCCTTTTGACCAGTTTGCTCGCCAATTTGATATATTTCTAGCAGGTATTTYTTCTGTTTTTCTGAGTGGCGCTTGCGCTGCTTGGTACTTTTTAGRGCCCAGCCCATTTTCAAAGTAGGCTCATTCACTGCRACAGAGGGAGTTCCTTCAGAAATTTGTGGCACATCACAAGTTGCTCCTTGCTCTAGTTTAGCTGCGTACATCAATATCGCTTTATCAAAAAAGGTTTCACGCTCCAGAACATACTTGTGCTTGCCACAGTGTATGTGGTTTTGTAAAGAAGAATACCTTTGGAAGGATTTGACACAGTCTTCTTCTGGGCAAAAGAACAAACTCTGCTCCTCAGGGTCGGAATTATCTTCTTCTGTTTCAAGTTGTGCAGTTGTCTCAGCTTGATGACTAGGTGCTTCCCATTTTTTGAGACGTCGTGCAGTAACATCAGTAAACGAAGTAGAGGAAGTGCGATCACTACGTTCACCTACAGTGTTAAGGGTTGGTAATTGATGATTCTCTGGAACATCGAAATMTTTCCACAACAACAGTTTGCCGGGTCCTATCCCATAAGCTCTCCAGACTCTTATTCCTTCTTCGCTGGGCTCCATGTTGTTAAGGAAACTGATTCCCTCCCATTTCACTGGAAAAGGTATCTGACTGGTTTGCTGGCCACATAACGTTACCCTCACCCCCGGTATACCACGTGCTGACTCTATCGTTGACACCATCTGCTCCGCTGTCTCGATATCATGACCTTCGTTGTGATAGACTTTCATGTGGCTTTTTATCGTTGCTGCCTTGCGGTCGCAGGATCCTTTACCACCTTGAGGGTCTGAATAATCCACACGGGATAGATGGAGTTTGTGCTTGGTAGCTATTCGCTGGACTGATAGCAACACTGAAGCTGAGTGGTAGCATCCAGCATTGTCTTGTCTAAGAAAGACATTTTTAATTCCTGGTGCAATAGACCTAAGCTGGTAGAAGATATTATCAATGATTGCCAAGACTGTATCACTTTCCTGGATGCACTTTTCGAATGCATGCACGAAAGTAAGCRTCTGCATATTTCYATCTTCAYTTCTTCGGATAGCTACTGTTACATGCCAGCTGATGCCACGCTTACCGAACCAATCGCTCTGTGCCTCACGGAACTTCCTTGGCAGAAACTTCATTGCCCAATCAAAAACAAGGAGTGCGGACTCTGGGTCCAGATTTTGAAGGATATCTAACTGTGCTTTATCTTGATTTATCAAACGGAGAATATGAGCTTTCCATGCATCAACTTTGTTAACATACTGATCGACGTCATATTTCATCTCATCTTTTTCAGCTCCTTCTTCAAGGTTGTCTAAAACTGTATGCACTTCATTAATAACACCAGGAAATACATCACAGCGGTCACACCTTTCCTTGTGCTCATGGTCACAAGACGAAATGTAGTCTTCGTCAGCTTTAAAGCTAAGAGCATAAGGTATGCAGTGATCAGGTACTGTGGAACTCTGGGAAATGTGAACCTGTGAGGAAAATGTAGGATGAAGGTTAATGGGGACAATGCATGTATTTTTTTCATTGATTGTTAATTGTTCATTACCTTATAGTCGGTTTTGAGATATCTCTTGGAACGTTTTAGCTTTTCATTTTGTTGTTTTGCCCAAGTAAGTCCTTTTCCATATTCATCACCAAGCTTTTCCACCATCTCTTCCAGTTCKTCAAAAGCTTTAGCCCCTTCAGCGGAGAAGTAATCTAATCCTTGTAGGGATTTGCGTACCGACGCTGAACATACATTTAGTACTCGGCACAAGGTGCTTCTACTCATAGGGGAAAAGCCTGATTCATGACAATAACTTTGATACGTTAGAAAGTGGTCTAGTTTTTCTTTTGGAACATACATCCGTGCGGTCGACGGGGAGAGGATAACTGAACCTCTTCCGTGTAAGAGACGATGATGCCTTGCGATATTGTAGCGGTACCTGGAAAGGTCTGGTATCCATCTCTGTAGTTCATTATAGCTGACTTTATCTGCAATAATGGAAAGAATCTGCCTACGCGTACTCCAATGTCCAGCGTTGTTGTAACACTCAGTGAGCGCGTCTAGCAAAGCAGAATCTATATTATCGCAAGTGTTATTAGAACTACAGACCGAGGTAAGGAGCTGTTGGTGGTCTTGGGGCGCAATCTCTTCAAGACATGCGCCGACAACTTGTTTTGCCTTTCGAGTATGGTRGCGTTTTGTTCGCGCTGACGCTGTGTCCCATGGTGTTACCAATGAGTGGCGAATCGGGCTTATATCCCGTGAAGCTAGAAATGCGTTGAGGTGGTCTCTAGGTGTCTCATATGTAATGGATTTGTCTTCTTCAAGAACCAAGGATACGGACTGTGCCTCTGAAGGCTGATAAAGGCTCACGGGTGTTTCRTGTAATGCACAGACTGAGGCAGCTGGACTTGACTTCAGTGGTGTTTTAAAGGAGACCTCTTGATCTTCATCCGTCTTTAAATAAAAATATATTCAAAATTTTATTAACGCCCTTAAATCATCTTGATTATTAAGACAATTTTGTAGCTTTTTACCAATCCTTTTATTTTTTGTCACCTCATGAATATTATTTTGTTGTCTGATCTAAATTGGTAATTTCCAAATATATGATCATTTAGTGTCAATAATTTTTTTTCTCTTGTTACTCTTATCCCTAAACGTTAAGCAAACTTATAATTATGTTTCATAACATAACCATTTTGTATATACGTATATTCATTTAACGCTCAATATAGAGCGTTTTCACGTGACGTCACAGTGGCCATTATGGGGTACCAAAACAATACATTTTCTATCCTCCGGGAATTGAACTCTATTTTTATGCAAAWACTGTGCAGAAAGTTTCTATTGTTTATTGCTGCCTTCTCACGTGAGTGAAAACGCTCCATTATAGTCAGTCCATTGTCCAGTGGGCTTCTTGTGGTAGGGAAATGCAGTTTGGGACAATGGCAATATGATCCTCACTCACCAATTGAAGCTTCTCAAAATCCATTGCAACCGTTGATACGATATTCTCTTCAAGCTCTGTTTGTTTTAACTTTTTTTCACAGTTGGTGCACATTCCTAGATTGAATAGTAAATTGAAAACGTTATCCTGAGCTCATAAAATCAGGAGGATATCAAATAGAGATGACTTTTAAGGACACTTACCAGAACCAGCTTGAATAAATGTTCCAGTTTGTTTCAACAGCATCTGAGATGCGCCTTTTCCAACACCTCTGTCCGCCTTTGGTATTTTCCCTTTCCATTTTTGACCAGAAACTTCTTGGGGTATCCTACATCTAGTGTTAGAGCCCCGACTCCACCCAATGCCAAGAACAGAACGATGGTTTGGACAAATGGTTATTTCTTCTATGTTTTKGGGGGTCTTGAATAAACCAGCGCGAGACAAAATTAAATCCACCTCATTTTCAGGGCCAGAAAACTTGCAACTCCGCAAGTGACTCGAGATGTCTTTCTTGCATGTCAATAGAGGTATCACCTGTGTATCATATGCACGATCTTTACGGTCAAAACCACAGATTCCACCGACAATAGATTTAAAAGAACAGCAAATCTCCATGTTTTGATTCTACTGTGAGTTAGGACGCGCATTTTACTAGTGAGTGATTACCTTGCACTTGCAAAACATATTCATATTATAAAAACAACGGCCTGTCAATCAAGGGACTTTGTACATTCGCCGTCTTTTATCTCAATAACGATCAAGTTAATGATATATGAACCTGGCCTTGGTGTTTTTTTGTTTAAAACTTCATTTAAGAGGCAAACCATTAGGATAAAGAAGAAAAGAAAGTTTAACTTGCTATTCTAAGAAATTTAAAGAAATGAGATGTCAAACACGGCTGTTACAATCCTTCGGGAAGGTGTCACGTTCTACAGTACCATGCTGACATTCAAAATCTACGACGGCGACATCAACCTGAAGTSTTAATAATCTCTTTTTGGGAAGCTGTTCATTGGAAATTTTATTCAAAACATTGTCTGTAAAGTCAACTCATCCACAGGGAATACAGACTTTGAAGGCGCGAAACCCAAAAGTGAAGTTGTTTACAGTAGACGTCGCCGTCGCAGATGTCAAATACGGCTGTTACAATCCTTTGGGACAGCGTCACGCTCTACAGTACCATGCTGACATTATTACCTGAAACCGGATGCGATGCACTTAACCTGACAAACAATTGATAAAACCACAATTGAAGCTTTTTAAGTTTCACCAACTAAACAAGGTTAGCGATTATAACTTTAGTTTTATAAATGATTTAAGATAGTAAACATGATTAATCGACSGCTCACCAGACGATCTTGTYGATTTCAGTGTCACTAATATTTGATATTTTACGGAAATTTGAGCTCGCCCCTCGTAAATACTGTTGAAATACACAAAGAAATTTTTATATCATTGGAAGTATCATCGCTTCATCTTTCAAAATCTAGAAGCTCGTTGGATTTCGTTGTATCGCACATAGTTTAAATGACCATTGTTTTGAGGCTACTTTT